ACACACACAATTGGTATATCTGTCATAACTTATTTATGATCTCCTTCCCACTCTAATTAAAAAAGTAGCTAATGATAGTTAACACTGCTGAATTTATAAGAAAAATTTAAAAATGCAGACCCATTTTACCTTGATCTGGCCTTTCTCACACGGCTCGCTGCAAACAGATCTGATGATGTGATTTTTCTTGGACCATACCTCATCATCATCCATTTTCAATTCTCCATTGTCCCAACTTCCAACATTGATATAATCAAAATAATCTTTTCTCATTTCCTTGAAATTCATTATTTCATACCTTAGGAACAAGAATACAGTAATCATTCAGCTAAGAATATAGCCATCTATGAAAATACAGTGGACCTTTTTCCCAGAAATATATCTATGTTCACTTAAACAACACTGGAATTTTCCATGGCAGTGCATTTAGGATGAGAAAAAAACCTGTCTGTTTCATTTTCTCTTTAGAGACCTTTTCCTTTTTACATTCAAGCTTACACCTGAAATAGAAAATAATCCCATGTGAGAAAGTGACTTGACCTCAGCAGGATGAAGACGGTTTTGAAATAACTTAAAGAAGTTTAAACAAAAACTTCTGAGAAATGTTGGGAAGGATTTTCTCTTCATTCAAATAATGTCATAAAATTTTTCTTTATTAATCAAATGAGAAATTTGGCAAAACTTTGATCTTTTTCTCAGCAGTAGGGACTGTAGGGGGAATTTGGATCAGATCAGATTTTTACTTTTCATAAATTACTCTTCACCAATGGTTAATTTATATTATAAGAGATGTTTCAGGTATGATGTTTTTAAAAATCTGAAGATAATTTCTAGTGCATCTAGTGCATTGTAAAAATAATGGAAGAGAGAAATATTTTGTGAGCTCTCAATGTTTATTATCTATTACTCTTAGTTTTGAGGATGTACAGAGGATAAGCAATGTGCTTATTTAAAAGCCATTTCTTGCATTTCCAGAGAAGCCTTCTGAAATAATTGAGAACGTCTGATGATCATCACCACTTGTCAGTTAGCACAGGGGAGTCAAAGTTGTACAATGTCTTCACATAGAGCTCTCTTTTCTTAATGTCCCCCAACCCAGGATTATCAGTACTGACATACTGACCCATGAATGCTTCCTCTAACTGTTCATGCCCATTGTGTTTAGCTATCTAGAAATGTGTATGGAAGAAAATTTTCTAGCTTTTGGATTCCAGTAATCAGGTTACCAAACACAGCACAGTATATACTCTATGCAGAAATAGAAAAACCAAACCTGGCACAGTCTATTGAAACTACATTGTAGCATTCTGTTTTTATTCACAATCACTTTTTAAAAACTTTTGTGTCTTCTTCAGAAATCAGTTCATCCTTGTATTTTGTTGGCTGATTGGCAGCTTAGGAATTGTCTAACCTTCTTTATCTGAAATCATTAAAATTTTTGGATAACTGTTTAAATGCCATTTCTAAATCAAAATTCATATTACATTTTCCTTGCATGCTGTCACAGTGATCAGATGGGTGCTGTGCGTGTGCAGAGATGCACAGAGCACTAGAGTAAAAAGAACTCATGTGTTATGTCACTGCTTACTCCAAATATTTAGGATTCTAAGTCTTAAATGGTGACTTGCTCACAGAAAGTCAGCTTTCTAGTCTAGGAGTAAGAGACGTCAATGTCAGGAGGCTTTCTTCTTTGCTGGTCATGATTTGAAGAGGTATCAAGGTTTCATTGCTCTCTTGAAAAATGAGCTATTAGCCCCATTTCCAGCGATTCTTAACTGAGACAGTACAGTCCAAGCTGTTGTTTTACAGGGAGTGCAACTGAAGCTCAGGGAGCCTAGGTAATATGACCAGGTTGCAGAAAATGCAAGAGTGAAAGCCAGGTCTTGTCTAAGCATTTGAAATTCACTGCCATTTTTCCTTCTTCTCCATTGCATTATTTCACCTCTGTTCAGGACAACCAAGAGAGCAACTCTCTGTTGCTTAAATATTGTAAAATTTTAATAGCTTTACATTATAAAGTTTTTATCTCTATACTGATCACTCTAAAATTTATGTATCAGAAATGGTAAAAAATTGATGAGAGTCATGGTGCACACTTGTAATCCCAGCACTCTGGAGGCTGAAGCAGGAGGATTGCTATGATTCTGAGGCCAACCTGGGCTCCATAAGTGAGTTCAAAGCCAGCCTGAACTACAAAGCAAGACCCTGTCTCAAAGCAATGAAACAAAAACAAAACAAAAAATGGTAAAAAAGTGAAGTCTGTAGTTTTAATAAAAATGAACATGAAAACTATAAAATTGAAATGTCATATTTAACTAGGAAATGATTGCAAGAAAAGTTAAATCTTAGTTTTGCCTTAACCTTTCAAACTATTAAACAGAGAAAATGAATCTTTCTTTTGGAATTAGTCTTTTTTATCCTGGTAATTATTTCTTACCCAGAAGACAAACATAAAGAGAGAGTGTCAAGAGTAGTTCTGGTTATGAAACTTTATGATTGCATTTTAGAAACTTCAATAGTAGCATTCTAAAAAACAAAATGGTAAGAAAAATTTACTACTGAAAGTTTTCACATTTTCTTCTGAATTATATTTTTAAAAAACTTTTACAGATGCTATATAGATTTTATTCTTTATCTAAATGACAAAAGTGAATGCCTTCTTTTAAATTTTAGTTAATTAAAGCAGTGGCTTTTTACAATATTTACTTACTATCTAATCTAGAAGGTTGTATCTTATTGTCCAGTAAAGAGCAATAAGTAATTTAGTATCCTTTTTATTATTGACAGATTTGGTAAAGATCCCAGTCACCCAGCATCAGTATGAGAAGCAAAGATGAAAGTGTTTGGAGAGGACATGAGAGTGTGAACTCCCCAGCCGGGTTACTCCTTTTCCTGTCCTGTGTCCTCTCTCCTCTCCCACTATTCGGCATCTACATCTCTGTGCTCCTGAAACTTTCTCTTCATCACAGTGTGTCCTTGCATATGCTCTCACCCTTCAGAATCGTTCCCTTTTCTCTGTGTGCCCCCGTGTCTATCTCTTCCTTAGCTGCTCCACATTTTAGAGCTCAAATAACCTGAATAATTTTTAAATGAATTTTAAATGTCATCAAAAAAACAAAATATATTGCTGCAGCAAGAAGCTCTATTAATGCATTTAATGGAAACTAGAACAAATCAAGTTTCCATTGAGCAGAAATAGTACATTTCCTAATGATGAGAGTTCTGAGACATGTGTGGGTATCCAAAGGTAGTGATGAAGGCCCTCTTTCCTTCGGGGCTGATGTCAGGATGTCAGGAGAATTGATTAAGAACTGTGGGAGAAGACTGTGAAGAGAATTTTGCTTTTATGATTGTCTCATTTTATAATTTTAACCTAAGGTGTTTTTAAAACATTTTAATGTGTAATTCTTAAATATGGCACTGGGCTAGCCCTGGTTCATAAAAAAAAGCAAAGGTCATGATCTGTGCCTTTGGAATTAGGTAACTATAGACTGAAGAGAGACCACAGAGTTTGACCAAAAACATAAATAATAATTAACATGGAATACTTTTCCATTATACAGATTGAACCATTTCAAATATAGTATGGGTAAAATTATTTTTAAAAATCTAAGATCAATTCTTACTGGATGATTTTTTTAACCTGAGCATTGCTCTAGTTCAATATTTTCTACTTACTCCATCTATTCTTTTCTTTTTTTTTTGGTTTTCTTCTGGTACCGGGAATCAAACTCACGACCCTGCACTTGCCAGGCAGGTGCTGTGCCACTGAGCTAAATCCCCAGCCCCTCCATCTATTCTTTTCTTTCTATTGCTCTTTTCATGCTTTCTTTCAAGTGAATGTTTTAAAATCATTTTATTATGATTTAATGATACCTCTTTGTATTAAAATTTGGTGGCTGCTTATGAAATTGCCATGGGTATTCTTATGCTACTTATTGTTGAATCAGTTGCTGTAAAACTTGAGGAACTTGCCCTTATAAAATTTCATGGCACTTTCCTTTATGCCATTAGTTTCAAATATTTTATATACACATAATTATTGAATCCACATCATTTTAAATTTTGCTTTACATATTCTTCGTTTAATTTAATATTTGCTCCTCATGCTTCCTCTCCTCAGTTTAGTTTACTTTAATGTTAAAGAACTGTGACTTGATAGTACTCTAGTCAGAAGTAAGTTTTACTTGTTTTGTTTTGGTTTGGTTTTTTTCCGGTACCAGGAATCAAACTCATGACATCGCACTTGCCAGGCAGGCGCTGTGCCACTGAGCTAAATCCCCAGCCCCAGAAATGCGTTTTAAAAAATGATTAAAATGAGCTCTCTATCAGTATGCAGCTGTCTGTGGCAGAGTGGATTGCCTTCTCTGGAAGTGCTCAGGGTCTTGCTGTTATGACTGGCAATTTTGTGGAATCCCTAGTTACCTTAGTCTCCTTTGGCTCCTTGTCCAGCTGGAGATCTTTCTGATCCAGCCGAACAGCAACTTACTCTACAGAAATATTTCTCAGAAAAAAAGCTTTTCTAAAGTTTTGCTACTGGTTGATTCACTGACAATCTATTATACAAGATAAGAAGTTGAAGCCCAGGGGACTGAGTTAGAATCTTAACTCTAGCAGTTACTAGACTGTCTTTAGTTGTATCATTTAATCTTTGTAAACCTCAGTTTCTTCCGATGGAAAAAAGAATAATATTATGCACCTCCTAGGATTAAAATATACACCAATTAGTCTATCACAATCAATATTTTATATCTATATCTATATCTATATCTGTATATATCTCCCAGGCTACTCTGCTTATAAACACTTATAGCTTCATAAAGCTGCAAATTACCCTTTCCTGAGTCTGGTCTATGCCCTTAGAGGTCAACTTTGATAATTTATTATTGCACTAATATCTCTATTTAGCTGTACATGAATAGTCTAAATGTCTACACATTCCCTGAAATTGAATCAAAATTCTATGTATATTTCCCTGAAAGAACCTCTAGAATTTTATCAGGGTCTTAAAGAGATTCATGTTCCAAAGAAAGTTAAGAACCAGTTTCCGGGGCTGGGGATTTAGCTCAGCGGCAAAGCGCCTGCCTGGCAAGCGCAAGGTCGTGAGTTCGGTTCCTGGTACCGGAGAAAAAAAAAAAAAAAAAAAAAAGAACCAGTTTCCTAAAAGTATTCTCTCATAGCATGTCTATTTTTTTTTTTTTTTTTTTTTTTTTTTTGGTTTTTCTCCAGTACTGGGAACCGAACTCACGACCTTGCGCTTGCAAGGCAGGTGCTTTTGCCGCTGAGCTAAATCCCCAGCCCTGCATGTCTAGATTATGTGTGATGTAGGTACGTTCTGCATTCCACTAGGGTTCCCACAGAAATAGAGCTGAGCCGTCGGAGACATTTCCTTGATATCTGGTTTGTGGAACTGGTTTGGGTCCTGACATGGAAACTGAAATTGGTGGAGCTGCAGTTTTCCGTCTCTTAGCAAGTCCCAAGCTGACATCAGTGCTCTAGAGATGGACGCAGATATAAATCTATGTATAGACAGCTGAGCACTGGCCTGAGTTCTGAGCCTGAACACGGAGCTCAGGGGTCAACCACCCATAAGGGGATTTACAACACATTTGCAGTTTCTTTTGAGCTTGAGCAAAAGATTGTTTTTTTTCCCTGGTGGATGCACTGAACATCCAAAAGTAGAAGACAATATGTGAAAAGTCACCTTATCTTGGTACACAGCCTGACTGATGCAATACTCTTCAAATCTCTAGAACAGAAAAAATAACTAGGTTTTATCTCAGCTGTGTTGCTGGAACCAGTTGTCACATAGCAGGCTAGCAAGTGAGATGGCAACAGCTGCACCCAGGACAGGTCCAGCTTACTTCCGAATAAAAAAATGAGCTAAACCCGGATTGCTGGCAGAAAGTGTGGGCATATGGTATGTGAGTGACTGAGGGATTCATGAGACTTCTCTTGGCAAGGCCAGCCAACCCTTCTGCAAGCACAGCTGTTAAGCATACGTTCTGCTGGAAGAGCACTTGGAGTTTTGCAATGGGGACCAAAGGACCCTGATTGTTCAAATGCAGAGCAGAGTGAAGACTTATCCCTGCTACACATCCAAGTAGACTTTCAATGAAATTATCACTAATGGTTTGAAACAATCCTGTGAGGATTAATGTAAGATTTTGGTGCAGGGGATAGATATGTATTCCAGTGAGTTTTCGATACCTAGTGACCTCTCTGAAGGCTGACCTATAATTATGAGAAGTTTCATATTTCTCAGGTACCTCTCTACAAATAATGAAAGGTGAAATTTCAGAGAAAAGGGCAATTTAGTTCTCAACGAGGGAGAAATTGCTTCAGCTGGAGGATAACAAAGTAAAATATGACTTATAATGCACTGTAAGCATAGCAAACAATAAAAAAGCACCTTGCCCTTTTAGGGATTAACAGAAATTGAATTGTTCTTGTTTCAGAAGAGTTCTATGACCCAAGAAGATAACAGAGATTAGACAATAACCTGACAAGTATATTTAAAAATGACAGAGAAGGCTTTTCCTTATTTATGATAAAGGGAGTTTCCTGATGCTAAATCTAGGTTTCTGAAATGCGGCGTGAAGATTTCAAAGGGACATTTTAGACCTCAGCATCAATGTGTTCTCTTGGTCACAGGGAAAAAGGCAGTAATTCGTTTGCTCAGCATGAGATATCTGGGCTAAGTATGTGTGGCCAGCAACCCTAAATAACTACAAAGAATAGAAGCAGACACCCCAGGATCAAGAGTCGGCTGTTGTTTAAAAACTATTGTCTACAGGGGAATAGTAACAATACCTTCCCGGAGAGTCTCCATTCTCATCAAATAGGATCATATCTCCAGAAACCCCAGTAAAATTGGTTTTCATCAGGGAGTCCAAGAGTTTCCTTCCGTCAATTGGCTTCATTGCATCACAGAGTCCTGCGTAGCCCGGGCAGAGGGACATCTGCATGTTGTGGAGCCCGTAGGCCATGGAATAGATCGCATTGATCACGAATCCCATTTTGGAATCTTGAACATGATGTGTTCTCAGAGTCAGAGAGCCTGTGGGAAACAAATTAGGAATAAACTTTGAAACTAATTTTACTGTAATTACTTTCATGAATCCTGATAATTAGGGAATGTATCAGAGCAACTTTTATGAAGTAGAACCAGAGGCAATATTAAAAAACAGCTGCCAAAATATTATGCCTAATAATTATCACCTATTTCAGACTTTTTCTTTCAAAATCTTGAGAAGGGCCCAAATCGGGTAACTGAATTCTGAGGATATGCAGAATAACACTGTATTTCTGTACTACATGTTTTTTTCTTAAGGACTTACTAATTTCCTTAGTGTCAGCTGTGAAAATATACATTTGTAGTTCAAAAATTCTTAACAAATTTCCAGTTTCCAAACTATTAAGTCCTCTTGGCTGAAACTAAATTCTCTACCATCTGGCTTTAGGGTACTTATTTGATGATTTATCACCCGTCACTTTCAGGCTGAAAGGAGATGCTCACCATAAACTAGCCTATTTGGAAATTATGAAATATAACATTTAAACTCCATTAATTCATTAATTAATTCAGTAAACATTTATTGAAGTCAGAGTATATATAAAGCTATGTGACTGATGATCTAGGTAGACTCTATTTCTAATTTATTTTTGTTTAGGTAAAAAAGCTGAAGTAGAGATGGATTCTGGACTAAAATAACTTCTCTAATGTCAGTCTGATAGAGTAATGATCTGACTTAGTTTTTCACATTCACAATATAAAGATACAAGAGAAGTATGCTCCCTGGCAGAGATGCTATCTACTGCAAATACCCCCAGTATGCAATTTGATGCATAAAGAGAAGGCTAATCTTACTGACTGAAGGGAAGGAGAGGAGGATATGAGGTAGACATACAAAGAGGCTGTGTAATTTAGGGGTTAGGAAGTTTTCTCTTTTGTTTTCTTTAAAAAATTATTTTGTTGTGCAGAAAATTACATGGAATACGACAAAAGGGAATACAATACTCTAACAGAGAGATGATAGATGTGGCAGCTGAGTGCAGGGTGGGATTCTTATTACATTCTGAAAACAGAAAAAAGTAGGATGTGTTTCTTACTGTATTGGTTATGGAGACTCAGGGAAAAAGCAAAAATCCCAGTGAGTCTAGGTTTTCAGTTTGAGCATTAACAGGTGAGTTACAATGCTATTATTTGATAAAGGAGAAAGAAGTTGGTGGAGGTGACAATTGAAAGTGCTGTTTGAGTTGTCAAGGAAGGCAGACAAGTTAGGCGACCAAAGTAGCAAACCAGACAGCAAACATTAGTGGCTTTGCCAGGGTCACAGTAGCAGAGAAGGTGAGAAATGCTCAGATTCAGGACCTGTTTTGAAAATAGAACTGAGATGACCAATTAGTTGACTCTCAAGTATCAGATTCCTGGTTCAGTTCTTGATTATGTCTTTAAAATTACTTTGTCCTCAGAAGATCATCATGGTGGTTTGGAGGTGATGGACACTCACAAGCTGCTTTAAAATATTCACCCAAACCAACAATTATTGCAGGAAAACAAATTCCAACTCTAGAAAAATCTTCAAGATGAAACAGGCACTTATCTCCAGGGAGGCAACAATCTCCAGGGGTCAACTTTGGCTCAGAAAAATGTCAACTGTGACACAGAAACTAAAACCAAGCAAAACTGGAATATACTCCAGCATCTGGGTACAGAAGACCAGACTTCCCGGCTTCGAAAGTCTCAGCGCAGTTGTTGGACAGCATGAAACCCATCTGGTGGAGGGAAATGCCAAAAACAAAAACAAACAAACAAAATGGTAGATTGAATATTGTGACACGACAGAGTTCAGCTCTGTGAGGTTTTATGGGGGAGAGGGAGTCTGAGTCTGGGAGCAACATTGGTGGTTCCTACATTTGTGGGACCTTCCTGGCATCTCTTCCCAGCATGGCTTTAGTGCATGCAATGCTTCTGCTCATTCAAAGGCTGTGAGAGTACACAAGGCAGTGTAGACGCTGCTTCTGAGAGCTTGGTCTGCCGTACTTTGGAATTTAAGAGCATAATGCTGACCTGCCAACAAAACATGTGAGAGAGATTCTTGGCAGTTGACTCATATTTTGCCAGTACCCTCATCTGAAGGTAAGATCAAATGGTGGAGACCACTACAAAAAGGCTTTGAGCAGGATTTTAAATTATTCAATTAGCTTTCTATGTTTACTTGTGAGTCTGTCCCAGGCCTAAGCCCCTTTATCTGGAGATGGCAGTGACTCATAGTAAGTGAACCTCTGTGAGTCACTGGTTCTGGCTGAGGCCTGTATTGGCCTGTGATGCCATGACACCTCAAAGGACAAGATAAGACCACATCTGAGGACTCCTGGCTTCAACCCTGATGTACTAGATAGAGACTATAATTGCAGGTGTCTCACTTCTGCAGTGAATGTCAACCTGGAGATAAGATAGTCTCCTAATGAGCATAATTTACTACTTGGGGAAGTCTTTGAACTGACTCTTAAGGTCCTGCTCTGTCTCCTGCACTTTCCTCAGTATCTCCTTCCTTTGTTTGAAAACCAAATAAATACAGACTGCCTAGAGAGTTTCTTTGTCTCAGCCCACAGAGAATCTCAAATTCTGTTCAAGGGTTTTGATCTTCTTGGAGCCGTAAAATCATACCACTTTGCTCTTTTACTTAGGTTTTCATCATCCACTCATTTGGGAGGTTTTGGACCTGATCAGTCTGTGATAATCAAGTGTGAGCTAGTCCTGCCACACTGAGAATGGGACAATCATTTCCTTCACATTTCTATTGTTGGAAACTACCTCACACAAGGAGGTAGCACCTGTCTGCAACTTGGATGGCTGAAACTTACCCTGTAGATGGCTTTAAATTGTTTCAAATACTTGGACAGAGGCTAGAAAGGAGAACTATGGATTAAAAAAAGATTTTCACAACCCTCCTTATATGAGGTAGCTTCCAACAATAGAAATCTGAGGAAATGATTGTCCCATTCTAAATGTACCCACAAGGAGGAATATTAGACCTTTTGCTTTATGTGTGGGAGAGTATATATGTGTGTTATTATTTGTGTTTCTATTGTGTTTACCTTTTTGTCATGCTTTTTTACCATGTTGTTTCATGGGGTTTTCTAGCTTCACTTTTCTGCAAGTTCATTAACTGAATTTAATCTCCCTATCACTTCCCATTTATATTCTTTTCCATTCTCTGCACATTTACTTCTCCTCTGATGCATTCTCATATTTCTCTTCTTGCAACACTTTATTCTCATATATAAATATTATCATGAATGTCTAATTTTTTTCTAACCTATCCTACATTATTAATCTCCCCTTCCTTTGTTAGGTTAGTAAAATAGGAGACAGTTTTGAAACAAGTTTACCATCATAGGTTGACATATGGTTGATTCTTTAGATATTGATATTACTTGTGGTTATTTTCCCTTCATAAGGAGATCCTGGGGATTTGAATAGGTTGACTGGTTGCTTTTACACTGACACATATGTGCACAGTCTAGGGTACATCACAAAATGAGAGCCACTTATAAAAAAAAAGCCCTCTACAATTAATGTTAATGATCTCCATCTCAACTGATTTGAAAACCTTAACCCAAACACCAAGCAACATGAGAAAACATAACATTTGTCCAAAAGTTTAAAATTCCACAATTTTAGTTAATAGTTTGATAGCAAAGTCACAGACATTGAACTGGATTAAATTCTAGGCAAGAAACTTTTATTGTGGTTAGCATTATGATGATGATAATCTGTTATTTTTTTTGAGATAGTGTCTCATTATTCAGCCCAGGCTGGCCTTGAACTTAGGGCAATGCTCTTGCCTCAAACTCCTAAGTACTGGGATTATAGACATGAGTCACCACACCATGCTCAGACACATAATTGTGTAAAGTTTGTAGTTAAAATTATCAATAAATTTAAAGAATACACAAATGAGAACTTGAATGAATCAATTATTAAAATGATCCATGAATTCAAAGAAATTACAGATAAGCAGCTGAGTGAATTAAGGAGCATACTGTAGAATACTGACATAATACTTCCATTAATAGAGGCTATGAAAGAGAGTCAGAATTTCTTGAAAGGAAAACCTCAATTAGTTAAATAAAAAACTCAGTTGAAAATCTGAGCAGTCAGATGAAATAGAATAAAGAATATCAGGTCCTGAAAACTAAGTACATGTACAACAATATTCAGGCGGTAATAAAGCAAAAACACTATCTCAAAATACCCTACTTCTATGTATCTTGTGAAAGAATTAAGGACATAATATCACAGTGGGATATGCATACCCATGTTTGTAGCAACACAACTCATAGTAGGCAAAACTATATGTCCATCAACAGATAAATAGATAAAGAAAATGTGATATTTATACACAGTGGAGTACTACTCTATCATGAAGAAGGATAAACTTGAATTATTTGTAGGAAGATAGATGCACCTTAAGACCATAATGTTAGGTGAAATAAATTAGCCATACAAGCTAAAATATCACTTTGTTTCTCTTACATGAAAAAACTCAAAATATACTTTATAGAGCACTATGAAAGATAATAGAAAGCAGGAAGATAACACTTTTGCACAAAAGGAAGGGGCCCAAGAGATAAGGGAAAGAGAGAGGGTTAAAAAGAACTAGAATGTGTCAGGTATGTATATCAACTTTCTGTGATGAATGTTATTATTAAGTGTGGTAACTATGTACTAAGAAAATTAAAAAAGGAAAAAAGGACAAAAAAATTAAAAAACAAAACAAATCAGTTAACAGAATATTCAACAGCTCTTTGAGATCACTGAACCACTAAATTTAAAACTCACAGGCCTCAAGGACGAGCAAGAAATACAAGATAATGACATAGAAAACTCATAGAACTTTCCGCAGATCATATCCCACAAGTTGGCGGAATGAGGTGGCTATCTAGGTACTGGAAGCATTTAGAACCCCAAATAGACACGAGAAAAGAACCTCTGCATGACATATCATAGTGAAACTGCCAACAATTTAGAATAAAGTAAGAACACTAACA